ACTCGGCGGTTTACGGGGTGACCCTTTTTCCTGTTGGGATTTTCCCCTTGCTGAGTCATGTGTCTTTTGAAGTGTGTTTTTCCCCTGGCATACTACAGGATCTGTCATTTGCATTCCGAATTAAAAACAAAATGTTGCTCTCTATCCATAGTAATAATCCAAATAACTTGCCAAAGATCGAGTGTCCCTTTCAGGAATGCCATGACTAATTAGCATCCCGGAACTTGTAGGAACTGCCAAACTATTGTCAAATTTATATATTTAATTTCACATAAAAGTGTTGTTTTTTTTAATTTAGATAGCTTTGCCAAATATGTCAAGTGCCAGCAAACAGCGATTACACAGGACTCAGTGAAGTATAAATTCATTAGATTTTTTTCATCTGCCCTTCTTTTACCAAAACCTTAAATACAAATGTCAGATATATTAACTTTCTCCATCATCAGTTGCATGTTTGCTCTTTTATTTTGTGGTATGTTTAGCATTGTCCTTTTAATCTGGAGAAGAGAGGTTAGCATATGTTCTTTCTAAGCCATTTGTGGAGATAGGATTCTGTTCTCATACATCTGGGCAGCAGAGGTCAATGCAGGGAATAAAGGCCATGGATGCTGGTGACAAACCCAGAAGGCAAAAGACAGGGCATCCTGCACCTTGAAGCAGTGGTATGGGTATGGTTGGTTGCAGGTGTCTGCAGGTATCAGTTGGCAGGTGATGGTTGTCGCAGTCGCTGGTGGGTCGCAGGTGCCGGTTGCTTATGGGCAGGGTTGGTTGTGGGTGTCATTGGTTGCAGTTTAGGAAATTCTTGGACATGCAAGTCCTCGAATGCCTTTCCTCCTCCTCTATGCATATTCTTCTCATGTTCACTGGGGTCACCCGCAGAGAAACACCTTGTCTGCCCAGATCTGTTGACAGCCGAAAATGTTAGGATGATGACCTCAGACAGGGGCAATGAGGAGCACCGGCCTGAGGGAGACCTATTTGCACTTCCATGGAATTGGTGCACTTGCCCCCTCTTGACTGCTGGGTGCCAGTGTTGTGGCTTCTCGGGGCAGAGTGGCCCCAAGGGACGGGGACATGGAAGACTTGTCTGTGCACATGGGCTCAGTGTAGCACGGTCTCCGCTGGCCTCTGAGCAGCGATGCCGTCTACGGGTGAGCGGTCGGGTTCATCCCTGAGAAGGCACCGGTGTGTTCCTGGACCCTGTGCTAGTGCGGGAGGGCCACACAGGCACAGTGCTGCCATGTGTCCTTCTCTGAATTGTCTCTTTCATGTAAGTAGGACTTTGGTCTGAAATGCTTGTCGCAAATGAGCACACATGTGAGTAAGAGCTTCCATACCATGCACTAACAAGAATTCAGTTCTGCTGGCCTCTGCTCTCCACAGACATCATTTCATGGTCCCTCTCTTTCCCTGACTGATAAGAAGCAGCTGGGTGGGGACACTGGCCCTGTTCCACACTCAAGGTGATGGGGTGTCCCAGGGTTCTGGGCGGAGGCTGAGCAGGGAGGGCGAAGTTGGACCGAGTCTGGGTGCACTGCCTCAGTTCACCTCCATTAAATCTGGTGTCTCGTCCGTTTGTTTCTGTAGAGACGAGGTCTTGCTAAGTTGCCCAGGCTGGTCTCAAACTCATGGTCTCAAGTGATCTCCACTTTAGCCTCCCAAAGTGCTAGGATTACAGGCGTGAGCTACCACGCCTGGCTGTATTTCTTGATTAAAGAAAACTGCTGCAGAAGGAACAAAACAAAACCCTGGGTCTTAAGGGAACGTTCACAACAAATTTAGTTGTACTTTTTAATTCACGATGCAGAACATGTAGATAGTTTTCAAGTCAAGACTGGTTAGACAGTAACCAATGAAAAATAACCCAACCCACAGGAGCAGCCCTGGCCTTTGCAGATATCTTGCTCTTCCTGCCTTTCTCTGCTTTTCCAGAAGCAGGTGGGTAAGGGTTTCCATTCTCCGTGAGACAGCAGACATCTGAGGGGCCAGGGCATTCCCAGGGGATCAGTACTAGGCTTGTTAGGGTCCAGGACTAAAGGAGTCTGCAAAACATCATGTGCAGTCCTGGGCAAGTATTTCCCCGCAGACCAGCAGGAGAAGCCACCGGTCTGCCGGGACTGCCTTATTCTGTAGAAGCTTCTCTGCCCTAAGCGGCTCAGAACCAGACCTGCGTGGTCCCGGGTGACTCTGTGCCCGGTCATACGGAGTGAGTGGGTACGTGTAACCCTTATGCCTCGTTGTTTGTATTTTAGAGAACCCAAAGGGTAACGTGAAGCGAGCTTACTATCAGAACAAAGCTGTTTCCCTACTAGTATGAGCTGAAGGGACCCATCTCGTGTACCTTCACAGCTTTAGCTTCACAACAAAATTCAGTTAAAAATTAGAATTGACAGCCGGGCTCAGTGGCTCAGCCTGTAATCCCGCGCTTTTGGGAGGCTGAGGTGAGTGGATTGCCTGAGCCCGCGGGTTCGAGACCTGCCTGGGCAGCGAGACCTCATCTCCACAATCAATCAAAAAAATCAGCCTGGCGTGGTAGCGCGTGCCTGTAGTTCCGGCTACTCGGAAGGCGGAGGCAGAAGGATCGCCGGAGCCCAGCAGGTCGAGGCTGCGGTGACCGGGAGTGGCCACTGCACTCCAGTCTGGGCGACAGAGTGAGACTCCAACTCAAAAAAAAAAAAAAAAAAAAAAATTAGAATTGACATATAAAAGCTCAGTTTCTGCATCTTGGGTTTCATTAAATATTAATTTATATCTTAAATATAAGAGATACCTAAATGCTGATGTGTGAGTTTGCTTACTCTAAAATTCTGCAGAATTCAGTTGCCATCAGATTTCACTAAATGTGAGAAGAGGAAAAGAAGAGGACTTTTCATAGTTAAAAAAAATAAAATTCTCTGGTTGCCGGACAGGTACCCTGTGCCTTAAATCAGTGTTGTGCTCTGGAGATTTGAATTTCTGAAATTTGACAATTGACTTAGTATTGCACATTGAGAACAGTATACTCTGAAGATTATTCAGTAGCCAGAAAGAAAAGACCTCCTGGGATTTGGTGGTGGTTGAATCTGGAACACTGCACCTTCCAGATGCTTGCGTGTATGTTTGAGATGTTTTTACTTAAAACCCCAAAGACATGAATATTATTTTAAAATGGCAAATGACTTACTTGAAGGCCAGAGTAAACAGATCAGCAGTGTTTTTGTACAGTTGGTCTGAGCATGTCTACACTGAAGTATGTAGTGTGGGAGGCCTGTTAGCAGTTGTTTACTGGTTGAGGTCTGCCTCTGAGTACAGATTTTTTTTTTAAGAGTTCTGATTTTGGTAACTTTTTTTTCCCTAAGTCTGAGGCTCACTCAGTTGCCCTGGCTGGAGTACAGTGGCACAATCATGGCTCACCACAGCTTCGCCCTCCTGGACTTCATAACCATAAAATGAAATTTTTGTCCACTCCTAGTGCCTTTGAAGCCCCGCCGGTCCCTCCCCAGTTAGACCCATTACTCCCTGAATGTCTGAGTGAATCATTCCCTCACTTCTCGTCACAATTTTACCACGTATGTATGTTTCTCTGAGTTTGTTTCTCCCACTTCCATGTGTCAGAATTCACCTAGAGAACTTGTTAACACACAGACTGTTGAATGCCCACCCAGAGTTGGCTTAGCAGGTCTGGAGGGATGTGGAAACCTGCATTCCTACAGCCCTGAGGTGGGGTGGGCACTGTAGGTCCTGGAAGCACACTGAGAGCCACCCCTGCGGTCTGTTGCCAGACTCCTGCCTGTCTACGGTGAGGCACACCATGCGTGTGCTTCTGTGACTTGCTTGTCTTGAGCTTGCATTTTGTTTCTCAAGTTCAGCCCAGTTTGACGTGGTCCTTCATTTCCGCGCTGCCCCATATTCCCTTTCTCACCAACCTCTGCCCGCTTCTTTGTGAGGGGAAAGGAAGAGAGCCAGGAAGTGACTCCACATCCATCAAGATCCTCAGCTCGCCGGGCTCGGTGGCTCAGCCTGTAATCCCACGCCTTTGGGAGGCTGAGGTGAGTGGATTGCCTGAGCCCGCGGGTTCGAGACCCGCCTGGGCAGGCAAGACCTCATCTCTACAACAAAATCAAAAAATCAGCAGGGCGTGGTAGTGCGCACCTGTAATTCCGGCTTCACAGAAGGCTGAGGCAAAAGGATCGCCGGAGCCCAGCAGGTCGAGGCTGCGGTGGCCGGGAGCGGCCACTGCGCTCCAGTCTGGGCGACAGTGAGACGCCAACTCAAAAAAAAAAAAAAATCCTCAGCTCACTAGCTCAGGTCATCGTTGCTGCCTTTGGGAAGAAGGTTCTGAGATGTCACCTGTGCTAAGAGCCCTGGGCTCTCTAGGAGTTCAGGAGGTTTGGGGGGTGTCAGGCGTCACAAGACCTGCAGACCTCCCTTATATCACAAAGCACTGCCTGCCCTAATCCATTCGGAACCTAAGGAGAGAGAAGGCCCTGTTTTTAAGTCATGAATGATGAAGGACCAGAAGAATGAGCAAAAGGAGGAAAGAAATAGGTTTTGTTTCAAAGCCTCTCAACATCCATATGTGATATATATTTGTATGCCTGTTTCATAAGAGTGGTTAAACCTGACCAAGGTCACAGATCTGACACACGGTAGGTAGTCAGATTATAAACCTAGGTCTGATTCCAAGTCATATAATTCGTTCACTTGATACTGTTCCCTCCCTCAGACTAGCAGTAGAGGCCTTCCCTACCCTTGGCATTGAGCTAACCACTGAGGCGTAGTTCCCAAAGATGTTTGACCTTTCTCTGAAACCTGGATCCTGTTCGTGTTCCCTGTGCTGCAGAGGCCAGCCTTCATACTCTCTGTAACAGTTGCAGCAGATGTTGCATAAAAAGAAGTGGCAGTGACGAGCTGACACCATGACCCACCGAGGCTGTACACTGCCCCATTGGACCTGCATTTTGGACCTGGGTGTGTGGGTCTGACCGCTGACGGTTCCGCCTTGTGCTTCCATCCTGTAGGGGATTCCCAAAGAAGGCCAGTAGAACTGCTAGAATCGCCTCTGATGAGGAGATCCAGGGCACAAAGGACGCGGTCATTCAAGACCTGGAGCGGAAGCTTCGCTTCAAGGAGGAGCTCCTGAACAACGGCCAGCCGGTACTGAGGGAGGTTTGGGCCTGGGAATATTAGTTACTCACATCAGAGAGCTCTTCCTCGCATCACCGGGATTTAGGCTCTTAAGATTTTCCCACAGAATTATCTTCTTACCTCTGAATCTCTACATTCCTCTTAGTGTTGTGGCTTGAATCTGGAGAAAAAATGCAAATGCTTCCCCATATTCCATCTTCACAGCTTCCTTCTACTCACAAGATCTTCTTGGAGGGAAGACAGTGAGAGGCAGAGAAAGGAAAAAGGAAGTGCAGGTGTCAGGGTTGGGAGGAGAACAAATGAGTAGAGCTGATTTTTATTTTTTTTTAAGAGCCAGGCATGGAGGCTCATGCCTATCATCCCAGCACTTCGAGAGGCCGAGGCAGGAGGATTGCTTGAGCCCAAGGGTTCTAAGACCTGCCTGGGCAACATAGCAAGACCTCATCTCTACAAAAAAATCAAAACATTAGCCAGGCTGGTGGTATGTGCCTGTAGTCCCGGTTACTCAGGAGACGAGGCAGAAGGATCGCCTGAGCCCAGTCGGTGAGGCCTGCGGTGAGCTGTGGTCATACCACTGCACTCCAGCTTGGGGACAGAGGTGAGACCCTGACTTCAAAAAAGAAGAGAAAAGAAAGATTAGGGTTCTAATGAGTTTTGTGTTAGCTACTTATTTCACCGAGTCTAGATTTTCACAAAGGGGGAAAGTATTTTCTCCTGAAATAGTGATTCATGTGCATACTTTGGAAGTTTTCCCTGGCTCTGTCAACTAAAACCTCCAAACGACTGTAGTAAATACTATGGGAATGTCTTTGAGCCAGGGACAGGCAGCTCTCCAGTTTTTTTTTTCTTTTTGGTTGCTAAAATATTCCTTATAGACTAAGATTTTCTTGGTTAAAGCAGCCATATTACATATATTACGTGTATATTTATATTATCTGCTATATGGCTTATGTATCTCCTTTATATACAAATACATGCTACTGATCTGTTTAGCAGTGGATGACACTCATGGTTAAGTTCCACCAATAGCCACGTTTGAGAGCTGCAAACAACAGGAAAAGAGGTTTCCCTTTTTAGAAAGTGGGATTCTCTTACAACTTTTTCCTAATATCATGTATTATTCTTTTACTTATTTTTGGCTTCCATAGACAAGGCTTCTAGAGCCACGTGGCACAGTGATTTAGAAAGAAAACCATGGTGTAAATTTGGCTTCTGATGTTAGCAGGTGCACTCTGGTGAAAAACAGACATCAGCTTGAGGTTTCTGCTTGTAAGGAACAGGGTGGACCTCACCCTAGGCCTCCCACTGATGTTGCTACAATTCTCCATGAAGAGATCAGCTTTTTGAGAGAGGAGGTGTTTAAAATTCTCTTTGAAAATGAATTCACCAATTTTCTTAATAGACGTGAGAAAAGTAATTTAAATCTCACATCCTAGACTGAGGCACCCCCTGCACCACTCAGACACCTGCCTCTGCCTCCTCTTGTCCCTGCCTTTCTTTATTAAGTAGAGTCATTTGAGCAGTAGGACTAATTATCATTTGGCACTTGATTTGTGTCACTTCTCATTTCAGCTGGGGTTGGCGCAATTATTGGCAATTGTAAATTTACTCAACATAGTTTCCTGGTGAGAGAGTTCCAATAGGATTCACATCCATATTCAGAAGTTTGGAAGTTTATCTGAAATAACCCCTGTGGTTTTTTTCGATTCTGCATTTTTCTTCTCTGTTTCTGATCAAACGCCTGTTTGTGAAGCGATCCTGATGGGGCAGGCAGTCTCTGAAAGTCCCTCCAGACCCCTCCTTCTGAGACACTTTAGAACCAGCACTCACGAGCAAGAACCACTCCACAGACAGAACAGGCATGCTGGCGTCTCCTTGTCGGAGAAGGGCCTGGCAAAAGCTGTTGGGGCCAACTCCCGTATGCTGGTCACTTGTGCAGAAGTACTAGCACAGTCCTCACCTGAAGGCGGGCAGTGGTCTCCTGAGCTGTGGCTGTGACCCTGCCTGTGGCCTCCATAGTCCTGCTGCTGCTCGAGCCCAGTGCGTCACTCTCTGTGGGTCTCCCCACATCACACAGCAGCCCGGGAGATGCTCACAGAGGGGCAGTCCCAGAGCGGAGACAACCGTCCCTGCCAGCCACCCTGGAGCTCCCCCAGCCTCCGCGTCAGAGCCCATGCTGTGCATGAGACGCCACACTAGGTGGCGGGCAGAGAGGCTTCCATCAGTGGCATCTGCGCTTCTGGCCTGATTTGCCAGTCTGTTTACCTACCTGGCAACCTTCTGTTCTTTGCCAGTTGGTCTTGGCGCTGGCTTGGCTGTTCTGAAGCCGATAGATGGCTCTCAAAGCGTTTTCCTTGAATCGCTTTTGCTGTTTCTGCTGATAGCTTCTCTTTCACTCCACTTGTCGTCGAGGGTCTGAAGCACGTTTTCTGTGCGGCTTCTGCCTCGCCGCTCATTATCACCTGAAACTCACTTCGGGTTCGCGTGGTGCCCGTCAGCGGCGCTCTGGCTTAGGCCATCGGGTCAGAGGGAGGCAAGGAAGGGAGAGAAACCGATTCCTTCTGTGCGCGGTATCTCAGGCTGCGGGGAGAACGGTTATAGAAACCACTGAAGCTTGCTGTGTTTTGCTGCTTATTCGTTTCATAAGGCACTGTGCAACTGTGAGTTTTTTCTCATCCTGTGTTTCTTGCGACTCATTTTTCTTAGAGGCTGACATACGAAGAAAGAATGGCTCGTCGGCTGCTGGGTGCTGACAGCGCAACGGTCTTCAGTGTTCAGGAGCCGGAAGAGGAGATGGCTAACCAGGTACTGTGTTGCCCTGGACATCTTAGAAAAATAACTTCCTGTCCCCTCACTGTACCCTTCATGGACACTGTTCTTGGGATTAGTTCTGTGGAAAGTAGTGGGCAGGTCACAGAAAGGCAGTGTTAATATCATCAGTCAACCTCATAGTTCACGTTTAATGCGCGGGCACTGTGTGCCAGACACCGGGCTAAGTGATGGATAGGAGTGTTTCTGCCGGTGATACCTGCTGTTACTATCTTCTTATTCATCAGTTTATTCTCCTTCCCAGCATCTTTCTGTTTCTCCTGTCCTGTGCTTTCACGGAAAATAATTTTGTGTGGAGAAACACATTTGCACTGACATTGTTTGAAATAACAGTGAATATTTCCCTTTACAGTTGATCCTTGAACAATGTGGCGGTTAGGGATGCCAACCCCCTGCACAGTAAAAAGTCCACATACAGCTCTTGACAACCCAAAAACTTTACTAATAGCCTGCTGTCGACCAAAGGCCCTACCAATAGCATGAATAGTCAGTGAACTTGTGTTTTGTGTGTTACATGTATTATGTGCTATATTCGTACATAAAGTAAGCTAGAGAGAAGAAAATGCAATTAAGAAAATTATAAGGGAGAGAAAATTTCTTTAGCATTCGTTAAGTGGAGTGGATCACCATAACGGTCTCCACCCTCCTCCTCTCCGTGTTGAATGGGCGGAGGGGGTTGGCTTTGCTGTCTCGGGTGGCCGAGGCTGAGGAAGGGCCGCGTAGGAGCGGACCTGTGTAGTGCAGGCCTGTGTTGCTCAAGGGCCGGCGGTCCATTCTTAGCATCTAGTCAAAGTGAAATATTGATAGACTGAAAAGACTATCTTCTCTCATGCATATGCAGGTGTTCCTTGGCTTAGGATGGGGTTGTATCCTGATAAATTCACCGCTAGTTGAAAATAATTGTCTTTTCATAATGCATTTAATAAACCTAGTCTACTGAATGTGATAGCCTAGCCTGCCTTAAACATGCTCGGAGCACTTATATCTGCCTGCAGTTGGGCAAAATCGTCTTACACAAAGCCTATGTACAATACAGTGTTGAATCTCTCATGTAATTTATTAAATACTGTACTGACAGTGAAGAACAGAAGGGTTGCATGGGTACTTGCAGTACAGTTTCTACTGAATGCATATCCCTTTCACATCATCATAAATTCAAAAAATGGCATTTCTTAGGCAACTAAGTTGGGGACAGTCTGTAGTTATAAATCCCTAATCAGCAGACCTAAAATGTCATCAGTACTCCCCACTACCACCGAAAAGTCACTCAGGGATTTGATGCAAGCTGCTTTATCATCTCTGTTGCTTCTCTTTGGAGTTTCAAGATGCAATCTCAAGCTAAAAGAAAGCTTTAAGATGATCAGGTAAACACTCGTATCTGTTGAAGGAATGGGTCATCCTTCAAAATCTGAAAGCTTTTTTGTGATAAATATTGCTACCACAAAAATTTCATTTAAAGAAAACTAGAAATCTTGCTGCAATCTTATTATTTCCATTATTAGTCTTCACTTATTTTTTTTCTACCATTACAGGAAATTGGGTCTCCTCATGCTTCTGTAGGGAGTCCTCTGGATGGTCAAAAGGTTATGCTTTCCACCTTTCTCCTTTCTCTAGTCTTTCACTGTCTGTTTTCTTCTGTTCTTTTTTTACCTGTGTATCTGTCTTTACTGCCATATATTAATTATAAATGCTGTGACCAGGTCTATTTTTATTTAATACCAGTTGAACAAAATTACCACAATGTGATTTTTCTTATTGTTTATTTGCCAACTTGAATTTAATTCTGTCAGGAGCAGATACTCTGAACTTTAAGTCACGAAAAGTTTTTTATTGTTTTTCCTTTCTGGGGCAAAAAGTGCTAATCCTTAAAGTGGTTACTTTGAGAGTAATGAGACAAAGCAAAACAACTTGCAGTCTATTTGTGTCAGTTTTATTCATACTGTTGTATTTCTTCCCTCAAACTAGCAGACTGTTTCTTTAAGATTGACTAACTTTTTTGGGTGAAAATGTAGTTAAAGCGATCTTTCATTTGATACTAAATTGGAAGAATTTTACAGCGGGCTGCCTGGTCTTCACTACACTCTGTGGGCAAGAAAAGTGTAGACTCCACCTTAGTCACCACAGGATGTTGACTGGTCTTTGCTTCACTTTTCTCTTTTTTAACCAGAATGTCAACTGGACTGTTGGTCCTCTGTTTTTTTCAAAGTTGGCAGGTTCTTAGTAGCTGCGGCACTAAGAAGGGGCTGGGGCTGAGACAGGTGAAAGAGCACACTGTCACGCTGCCCATGACTCTTTTGACGCGATGCTGCGTCATATTGCACAGAGCCTCAGGCACTGCGGGCCTCTGGAGGGAGGCATCACACTGCGTCAGCCCATAGCCCACAGAGAGAGAGAGGTGACTTGTTGCCTTTTATTTTTGTAGACAGTTTAGGAATACATAGCCTTTTCCTTTGCCTTTTTCTTTCCTTCTCCTTCCTTCCCCCACCCCAGGAGAGAAAAGAGAAGGAAAATCATCTTCTTAGGGATTGGTTTGCCTTTTTTGGATGATAGGACTTGAAGACAGTTTTAAATACCACGTGTACTCACTTCCAGATGTTTTTTGTTTTATATGGAATTGAATTGGGTTCAGACTACGTTTTTAAACTCCGTGGTAAAAAAAAATCCCGTCTTCACAGTGCCTGGTTGGTGAGGGGCTGGCACTCACGAGACACGTTGTGCCACACGGGACGAGGCTGCTCACGTTAGCTCTCTCTGCTTGGTGCAGGAGTACAGAGTCTCCAGCTGTGAGCAGAGACTCATCAGTGAGATCGAGTATAGACTGGAGCGGTCTCCTGTGGACGAGTCCAGCGACGAAGGCCAGGAGGGGGACGTGCTTACGGCAGCCGTGGTGGCCCCATTCTTTGAGATGAAGCTGAAACATTACAAGATCTTCGAGGGCATGCCTGTAACCTTCGCTTGTAAAGTGGCTGGAAGTCCAAAGCCAAAGGTGGGCTGGAAATATGGCTCTCAAGAGTTGCTTTCTGAGGAAAGGTTTGGCCTCCAAAATACAGCATGTCAGTAGGGAAGAGACAGATAGTCTTTCTCAGCACCCACAATGTAAAATGTCTCAAGGGCTCGGAGGTTCACGTCTTCAGAATCATTGGAAACCAGAAGGCTGGAGGGTAGAGTTCGGGTCTGAAGAGTAGAGAACAGAGTTGGGATCCAGGTGCCCTACAGAACAGTTATGGATGGCTCACAGGGAGCTGCTCACACACCTGCCTCACACACTCCTCACGGTCACGCCACGGCTGCACATGACATCGCCCAGCCCTGTGATGTGATGTCAGAGAGCTGGTGAGCAGCCAGGCCTGGGTATGAACCAGAGCCCTTTGCCCTCTGAGTCCACAGAATCAAGGCTTCCTGTATTGACAAAGGGAGATGGGGCGAGGAATGCTGTCTAGGGCAGGTAATCAAGACTCTGGTACCACACAGGACTGGCAGGCTGGGAGCCCTCTCCACACAGCATGCAAACATGGCAGTCCTGGGCAAGGAGCCACCCCGCCTTTGCAAGGAGGCCGAGAGCCACTGCCCGGTAGCCCCGCAGAGCAGCGCACAGGAGTGCTTTCTTTCCTAGAACGGGAGGGAAGGAACTAGGAAGGCAAGAAATCAAGTCCCTAAATTATACTATCACAGGGTACGGAGCCAAAAGCTGAGAAATTCAGGTGAAATTTAGCCTTGGATTATTCCTTGGAAGCTGGCAAAACATTGCCCCAGAGGAGGACACAGGCAGCTTGAAGCACGTCAGACTCCCGCAAGGTAGAAGGAGGAAGTGCAACTGAGCATGGGCTCACAATAAAACTTCCAACCTTATGAGGACAGTCAGCAGCACAAGAGACAGAAAAATAGAAGGCCAAGTATTGCACAACCGTGAACAAGCTTAGGGAGACTCGAAGATAACTAAACAGTTTAAGAAGGACTAGAAACTACAGTGGGAGAACAGTACACTACCAAAAAAGCGCATCCGTAAAATAAGCATATACGCGAAAACACACACACTGAAATGCAAAGGGTATAAAAAGAGATGAAATGGGAATCAGTCGGATGAAGCAGTGATCTGAAAATACCTGATGTTTTTAGGTATTAATTTCCTGTCCCTTCATGCATTGTTTTGTTTTCCCAGTGAGGAAAGATTTACTGTCATATTCTTTTTTAAAACCTGAATTTCAGCCCCATAGTCAGAGAAAGGTAGATCAAAGAAAATAGCCTTACATTTTCAAACCCTATCCACTTCCTAATAATGTGGGACTTTTAAAAATAAACTGTGTTGTTATAGAAAGCTTCTTTATCCTATTCTTGGCATAATTTGGATAATAGCTGTGTATCCACAACATGGTATCAAATGTATGTATTAAAAACAAATTTGCAGCTTGTGAATGAAATTGAACAAGAAATACCTTGAGCTTCTAAAATATTCACAAAAAAAATCTCACTTTATTTTTAAGCCTTACTCAAGGCTTACCCATCATTGGTCAAGCACTGAAATCACAGATTCTTATTCTTGTAGAATACTGCATTGATTCAGAAGATGGGCTTTTGTTTTTTACATAGCTGTACTGTTTTCCCAGCACAAATGTAAATGTTTCACAGCTTTAAGAGGCTTAATTGCTTAGAACTTTCTGTCATTAGATCTTCTTCTCTCTTTCCTCCCCTCTTCCTCCCTTCCATCCTCTTCCTTTCGTCTCTGGCTTGTTGAAGGATGACATGTGTCAGACAAATCATGTTAGGGTTAAAAAAACACATCATTTTTTAAGCTTATATTTTTAAAATTATCTTATTCCTCCTCTGGCATGCTTGTTCTAGATGAGATATGGAAAATAATTCTAATTTAGCCTGTTTTCACTCTTGTACCCTCCTATACCTCCCTCTCCATTGGTAGTCCCGGTAAAATTCTGGAAGCATTTCTTAGTTTTTATTCAAAATTTATATTCAAGTACAATGGAGATGAAAAATACGATTGAAGGGAAGAAATAGCTCTCAAGAACTGGCACTGTGGCAAGAATGCAAAAGGAAGAGATTGTATACTAATTACGACTTCTTTGTTCCATCAGAAATAATCAACCACTAAAAAGAATATGATAATTATTATGTATGATGCTTTATATAGTCTAATTCTTAGAACTGAAAGTTACTCGTCTAGTTGATGATTACTTTTTAGATTCTAGAGATTAGTAAATAATATAGTTTCTGGAGCTAACTAAAAATAGGAATTGGAAGAGTAATAGCAGCTAGATCCCAATAATTCATGCATTTATGTCGTGCTACACATTTCTAACCTTTTCCTATGTTAGGAATAGAGATTTCAGAAATATTGTCACATTTAAATACTTAAGAGAGTTGACTGTGAATGTCAGTTTGGGTTCTCAATTTGCATGTTGATTTACATTAGGGAAGAAGTTTATTTTAAAAACTGACGGGTGGAAAGTAGACTTCTTTTGTTAGGAATCCGGAATGCTTTTGGTTGCAAGGAGCAAAAGACGTGCTGTGACTTAAAGAATGGTGGTGATGTTTCCTATCTAACCCAAAGTCTGGAGGTGGGTTTTTATGGATGTTGATTTGGCATCTCAGTCTGGGCTCTGGTCCTGTGATTCGTCGTGCTGGGCCCATCTTTCAGCTGTGTGGCTCAACCTACATCCAAGTAAAAGCTAAGGCATCAGACACGCATGGACCTGGGGTGAGGGAAGGAAAGGGGATCTATAGAGAGTTGGACCACTGTTAAATTTATTTAATCAAAATTTACTTTTACTTTATTTTTCACATTTAATTTTTTTTATCAACCCAAGTTATATATCTGAAAGTTATTGTACTTTTCAATACTACTGAGTTTTCTTTAACGTTTTGGGGCAAGCTGACAAGCTCCAGCCTTTGATCATATGGCGCTCGGCCCAGAATTAAAGCACCAGTGTTCCACCCATCACCACCCTTCGCTGTTTCCCCCTCCCCACCGCCCTCTTTTATTTGCCAGCACAATTCAGTGGAATGACTAGAATTTGGAGTCTGTCAAGATGCTTGCAATGCCACCTCATAGAATTGCTGCCTTTGTGTAAATAATGTATGAATGTAAACACCTTGCTTTTAAAGACAAAAAGAGGGAATGCAATTCTTTAAAACCAAAATAGATTGAACTTGTTTGTTACCTGCTTTTTTCACTCAGAAATCAATCTCTTGTTCCGGTATTCAGTGTGGCATTTTAACACGAAAACTCAGAGCAGCTCTGCAGACCACAGTTATTATTCAGTCCTCCTACACGCAGTCTCAGTCCTTCCTTGGTGCCTCCTTTCTTAGGTCTATTGGTTCAAAGATGGGAAGCAGATCTCTCCCAAGAGCGATCACTACAGCATTCAGAGAGACGTGGATGGCACCTGCTCCCTCCACACCATGGCCTCCACCCTGGACGATGACGGGAATTACACGGTCATGGCTGCAAACCCCCAGGTGAGCACGGGCATGGGAAGAGTTATGCTACTTTGACTGAGGAAGCAATTTTTCCCAATTCTACATTTATCTGTGCTCAGAGGCAGAAGACTTCATTGTTTCATGCGTGTGTGTTGCCCTGTCATGTGCTCTTCTGCAGTGAGGGCTCTAGTGCATCTTCAGCATCCCTTCCACAGATACTGCTGAGGCCCCAGTGTGTCCTCAGCCCTTAGGAGGGTGACCGGGTTGCAGTGGGGGTGAGGAAAGCTCCACAGTGGGAAATAAGCCAGTAAACAAATGTGGACACACTATGGTTTCAGGTAAGGTTACATGAGAAAAGAAGAAAAGGATAGAGTGCACAGACTGTATAGACTCCAGTACTCAAGTTACTCAAGGTCAAACATTTGAAGAGAATACACATCGTTGCAATTTAAGTAATGTATAAGTATAGACAAGTGATAATTTGATAGTGCATCTGTAACATCTGGGATTTCTTTTTTTCTTCTTTTTTTTGAGACAGGGTCTCACTCTGTCACCCAGGCTAGAGTGGCACAGTCATGGCTCACTGCAGTCTTGACTTCCTGAGCTCAGACGATCCTCCCGCCTCAGCCTCCAGAGTAGCTGGGACTAGAGGTGCACACACCATGCCCAGCTAATTTTTATATTTTTTGTACAGACAAAGTCTCACTATGTTGCCCAGACTGGTTTTGAATTCCTAGGCTCAAGTGATTCTCCTACCTTGGCCTCCCAAAGTGCTGGGATTACAGGCATGAGCCACCATGCCATGCCAGGATTTGTTTCTTTGTTTCCATCAGAATGTTTTATCTTGTATTTGCCTTTAGATTTGGGGTCAGAGACATTAGTTGGCTTTTTAGAATTTAATAGGAGGCCACTGAGTATCATGTTCACAACTTAAGCCTGCAGGTTCTTTTGTATTATTTTTAGGCACCACACTGGATACAGGGAACACACACATGAGTAGGAAATGATTTTGTACCTTAATTGCTCAATGTGTGACAGGGTACTTTTACTAAGTCTGCAAAGTTGTATAAATAATATACCTTCTGCTAGGCGTGGTGGCTCAAGCCTGTAATCCCAGCACTTTGGGAAGCCAAGGTGAGAGGACTGGCTGAGTCCGTGGATTTGAAACCAGCCTGGGTAACTTGGCAAGACCTCATCTCTACAGTAAGTCAAAAAATTAGCCGGGCATGTTAGTGCACACCTATAGTTCTGGTTACTTGGAAGGCTGAGGTGGAAGGATCCCCAGAGCCCAGCAGGTCAAGGCTGTGGTGGCTGTGAGTGGGCCACTACAGTCTAGCCTGGGCGACAGTGTGAGACTCCAACTCAAAAAAAAAAGGGAAAAAAAAAAATCCACCCAGCTGAAATTAACAATTTTATTATATAAATAATGAAGTTTGTCCAGAAGTATCTTCTTTAATGCTCTGATCTATTTATATCATTCCAGATGAGGGGTGACCCCCCCAAAAAATGGAATTACTTTTTGGAGGGTGGACCCTTGGTAGTACAGGCTTTCCTTGCTAGGTGAGTGTTCTAGGAACCCATCAGCATCGGTCTACCGGCTGGCTTTGTGAGAGGCTGTGTTCGCTTCGGTTTCTTTTTCTCTCCTTTTTTTGAGACTCTTTCAAAGCATTTGCTGATTTCGTGATGGGCGACTTGCAAGCACGCCCTCCCGCACCTTGCCGAGTGCTCAGCACTTTGTGACCAAAAGTGGCATGATGCCCCCGCCCCATGCTTGCTGCCCACCCGATCTCGCCCCAAGCGGGTGTTTTGTTTCCCTGGACAGAAAAAGTCCTCAAGGGGACACGTCTTGCCTGTGTGGAAGAGGTGAAACAAAAGTGGCAGAAGCACTGAAAGGCGTCATGACAATGGGGAAAGCATCTCGACAGATGTGTTGCATCCGACGAGAGTACTTTGAAGGTGACTTAGGGTTAGACATGTAAGAATAAATGCATAATGTTTTAATAAACAAAATCCAGGTTCTTGGGGGTCCATCTCACATTTCATTTTTTCCTGTGAAGAAAATATTAAATGTCAGAAAACAGGATTTTAACAAAGCTTACAGACTTTTATAAGTTTATACTAGGGTTATCCTATGCTAATACTCCATTGTCCTATGAAGTTGCCTTTCTGCTATAATACTAAAATTGGAATGAAGCTCAAATTGTCTAGCTAATCAGGTTGTGACTGAGCACAGCGAACTCTTCACTGAGCACAGCGAACTCTTCACTATCAGTGAAGAGTTTCCATATTAATGCAAGTTCTTGCAAGTTTTAGTTAATGAACGTATGACCCTGAAAAATAGTCAAAATTGCAACCGCTCTTAAAAAGTTGGATTTTAATTCGTATTTGTATTCATGTTTGGTATATTTGAGGGAACAAAAGTGGAACTTGCTTTCTTTTCTTCATGTGTTTTCAGTATATTTCCTTGACTATGAACAAATTTCAGCATTCAGTTTTCTGCCTGCTAGCGATTGGTGGAGAACACAACAAAATCCACAATGTTTCTTTGTGTTGGGCACTTTATTCCTCTTTTGCCCTAGAAAGACTCGGGTAGATTATAGGGATGCGATTATCTGTGTGCCTTAAGCACTTCTGTGCTGGGAGCCTGCTGTTAATTTTAAGGCATTTTTCCTAGTGTGTTTTAAACTGTTATTGGAGTAAGTAAGCCATTTTATAGAACAAAAGAACATCAGTGTGAACCTGTCTCTAGTCTTCCTCAAATCATAGTATTGAATTTTTACACATGAAAAAGTTCTCGTTGGGGAAGGGCACAGTGCTCACAGCCAGTGGAGTGTGCAGTTTAAACAGCAGGCCAGCCTCAGGCCTGTGGTCTCTGATCTTTTAGACACTTGACACAATCTGATGAAGCCACTCAGTGACGGAGGGCTGCTGAAGACCCCTCAGATTGTTCCACGTTTGTACATATGTCATAAGGTCACGTCATACCCCATGAGTATATACAATTATAATTTGTCAATGAAAATTAAAAATAAGCTTTTAAAAAAGTACAATCTTGCCGAAAGCCCAGCATACAAAGACAAAAAAAATCCCTTGTAAACTTAGGGAGAGGAGGAAGGCAAAGAAATCCAAAGAAAGAAATGACACCAGAAGACAGGTCAGGACTATAATGCCATGATGACACTGAGAAGTACCAGGCAGGCGAACAGTGTGACCCAAGTGTTAAGAGCAAGACCTTCAGCACTGGCCGCATCCAAGCTGGAGTTCCAGCTCTGCCGTTCGCTACCTGTGTGACCTCGGCAAGTCACTTAACCTCTCTGTGCCTGCTTCCTCTTCTGTAAAATGGGATAATAATACAAATTTAAATATACATGCACAGAACTCTCCAGCTGCCTGGCACAGTGTATGCTTTCAGTAAATGCTGGTCATTGTCATTATTTGAATTCAGAGACACTAGTTGCCCCATCTCAGAGACACAGGCTTATGACTTGGCAGGGACCCATGGATCCAGGACATGAAGGATGGGCTGCGTCTGTAGGTATTCCGCCCTCACAGTCCTGCTGAGAGCAAACAGCGCTGTTGTGTGTGGTCCCTAACTCCTGGCTCTTCCTTTTTTACCCCGTGGGAAAGGATTTGGCAAAGATGTGGCTTTGCCCTGATGCCATAGCTGTGGGCTTGGGCGGAACCGCTGGAGCTAGAGCACAAGCCGCATTGCGGCACCGCTGACACCGCCATAAAGGAAGCCGGGGCTGCCTCTGCTCCTGGGACCCACAGGGCCAGGAGAAGGCCCAAAAGGGCAGCGCTGCCCTCATCCAGGCCCAGGGAGTCTGCTGCCGTAGCAAAGCCCAGGCTGAGCCAATGGGCAGTCTCTGGTTCTTTGCTCTGCTCTTTGGGGAGAACGGACAAAGAAATGTGAAGTGGACCCGTTTGCACCAGGCAGTCGAAAGTCCAGAATGTCCCGTCCCACCCGTGACTTAATCCAAGAGTGACTTGATAGCTCCAGGTCGCTCAAAGGAATCAAGACTCCAAGAACCCCAGGAGTCACAGTAAACCAGACGCGCCCCTAATATGAACCAGAATCCCAACTGTCTCTAAGGGTTAATTGACACTGCCAATATTATAATTAAGAGGTGGGACTAAATAAGGAAGGGAAGCTCACTAAGAGGGTTAGAGGAAGTCCTACAATTGGACACGTAGGCCTCAAACAGTGTACCCATGTGTACATCCCATTGAAGCTGCCGTGAGAATGTTTCTACTTAGACCACTTGATAGTAGTTGTTGTTCCAAGTTGCTAAGCCTGTTGCCTGGGCAAGTTTAATTCCAGGAGTAAAACTCTTTCTTTTCCATCCTGGGGTCTTCAGAAGCAGATCTGTCCAAGTATGGCAGAAGTAAATTTTGTCAGCCATCAGTTACTATATACTTATTTTGTACTTCTAGTAACTTATTAATTGAAACATGATTTTAAAGAGTCAGGTCATAAGTAGGCACTGAAAAAAATTCTAAAAGTAGAAGCTAATTCTTTTAAGACACATTAATCTCAAAAGCATAAAGTGTGCCTGACAAAAAACTAAAGTTGACTCTTTACTTCCTATAGTTACCGTAAGTTTTTTCGAATTTTAGAAATATTTGAGTTTGAAAGGGAAACAACCACATGCTTTTTTCCTAGTACACTGCAGCCTAGACAATGTGAAATGACAAGGCTAGAGTAGATAAATTAGTTGGGTAATGAAACACAGACGGCAGAGCTCTCCTGAGCAGTGGAAAGTGGTTACAAGAAGCAGCCAAGAGAGGGGTGAGAGGATGGAAGGAAACCCTGAGGTTAGCTGAATATTTTATAGAATAGGAAATGTTTCCACCTGGGCTAATCTTTCGGGAATAAGAAACATATTCAGTATTGTTGACGGTATCCAGTTCTGCTTGGGATGGAACACACAGCTCTCAACATGCATGGATTGTGTGTCACACTCAGTACAGCTCCAGCAACTCATCAGAGACCAGAGTGGCCACATGGTCAGTGAAGCAGTGAGTGACTGTGCAGTGTC